GATTCGAACTTTCCAACAATTCCAACTAGTGATCAAAATGATCAGTTGTGATTTACGACATAACTCAGTTAAATGAGGCAGGAAGCTGGGGTTTAATTTTTACGACTCCCAATTAGCAAATTAAACGATGCTCCCCTTTGACGCCAATTTTACGCCAGCTAAACCTTCTTATGTAAAAAGACAAATAAGATAATTGGCACATTATTTAATAATCACCGAATGCAATATCTAAGTTCAATAACTTTGCCTCAATGTTCCGTAAATATTCTTTTGCGATTGTGTACGTTTATTACTCTATTTCGTAACGGTGGCCAGTGTTTTAAACTTTGGAACTCCTGCCCTGATCCCCAATTATTTTGCGGGCCACTTAAGCGTCTAGGAAAATGTGCCAGCAAATATAATTAATGTTTATTTAGAAACGGCGGACAAATATTTCTTTAACTCTGGCATTTGATGTGATTTCCCATGTGTAAATCATTTAAAAATTTGACAGAGGTGCTTTAAATTGTTTGGAAAAAGATATGATGTCCATGCCAAAACGTTTAACTCAAAATAACGAGGAGTAATAGCGTGGCGGCTGGAAATTTTGCCAAAATAAATTACCAGAAATAATTATACCATATTATTGCAACTTTCCTACCAGAAACAACGTTTTCTTAACACAACACTAAACTATGTACAGTCCGTACGATATTTATTGAGACGGAATTCCTAGAACTCTCTTGGAATTATATGGGCTCAAGTTAAAAACAACGTAACAAAGAAATATGTTTTATTTCAATTCTATCTCAACAAATATTGTAGCATCCTCAAAAGCTTGCCTGTGATCAAATTTCAATGCATTTGGAAAAATTTAGGAAAATGTCTTAAATTTGATTAAAAAATAGCTCTATAGTGTTTACTTTAGGCAAAGGCATTTCGATATTCCTTCTATGTTCTGTGATTCAGTAATAGATCGTAGTTCAGTGTTCTATGGTAGTCGGTAGGAACTTTAAATTAACGGTTATGATTAACTTTAAAACTAGTAAAGGCGACTTGTGAGAGATTATACACATGTACAGGGTGTTTTAGAAAAAGTTACCATACATTCAGAGGCTGATAAAATATAAAAAAAATTAACCTCAAAAAAGTTATGTCACAGAATGCCGCTGTCACATTTATGACCCTATACCTAATTCCAATATAGACTGATGTGTTTTGGAAGAGATACAGCTAACATTTTATTTTAAAAATTCAGTGATCTAAAAAACAAGAAACGTTAGGCGTTAGGCCCATTTTCCCCGGGGAAAAATTATCTTACATTTTGATGTTTTGCCTCACAAAAGGGCAGAGATTAAAAAAAATGACAAGCGTTTAAATATTTTAAGCAAATCTTTGACGAAAAAATTTTTTTTGCTCGAGCCATTAATAAATTGGGCTCGGTCCGTGAAACCACCGTTCCAGTCTAAAAACGTGGACGTTAACGTTGAAAAAATCCGTGGGTTGATACACTGAAAATGACTGAGATTAGTTTATGAGTTATTTATTTAAAGGTTTCCCAGCCGGGGAACTCCGCAAGGGTGGATGCTTTTATCGAAAGAGCGACATAGAGGAGAATCAGGTGAAACGGAGCGATGATCGAGGCTCAAACGGCTCTAGTGGCCATTTCCAGTTGGAACACTAATCGATGTGTTCAGTAATACATTGCCTGCCGCCCGACCCACCGGACAGAGACGGACTTTCAATATTTAACGGCCTTCTATTTAGTTATGACTCGGACGCGGATTCGCGAACCACTCAAGTGCTTGTAGCTAAAAAATGTCTCACTTGGTCTGGTTGTACCCCCTGAACTGCTTGAGTGAATGATAACCCTATTTTTTCGTGAAGTCAGTTTATATTTTTATATAAATATATTCTTTCGACGATTCTTTATAACTTTTAGTGATTTTCTAAATTTTCATCAATAATTTACAGAAATAATACAAAATAATTGTATCTTTTTGTATAAACTTAATAACTCTTTAAATTCGATGGTACATAATTTTTGATATCTTAGTTTTAGGGGGTGACTGTCACTATTTTATCCTCAACTTATGTTTACCTACTTATTTTCAAACTTTTGAAAAATATTGATCTATACCCTCATTTCAACTCGAAAATCTGAATAATATGTCTGGAAAAACTTTTACTGCACATGGGCGTACCTAGGATTTTTGCTTGGGGTGGGCCCAGGGCTAAAAAAACGCAATCAACGACTTACTGATATCACAACCTAAGCACTTTTTTGTTTGATTTTAATAAAAAAAAATGCAGACAGCGATTTACCGATATGAGAAAAATGATATTATCGGATCTTTTTTCTGGGGTGAGCCGTGCACACATAAATTAGTTTTCATATACCCCAAGTTTAAAACGTACAACAGCAATAAGATATCTCGAGAAGCTTTTAAGATATTACAAAAAAAATATATACGCCATCCCCTTTTATAGGATACATTTTCCTGATCACTATGATGTATGTGAGACCCAGCCCAGTACGTGGGCTCGCCGCTAACGAGTGTTATGACGTCACAACATTCATTAATTATCTCGAGGGAGAAATTGTTGAGAAAAATTCCAATCTTTTACACGTATCTTTTTCTGAATATAAATTTTAAAAAATATGCTGAAGGAACCAGTTACTAAGATCCGGAAACTTTAACCATAATTTTAGGCAATTTGCAAGTAGATATTAGTTTTATTATAACAAATTCTCGCTATTAACCTCATTTATGATTCTGGTTGGGTGAATCTGGCAAAACGCGAAAATGGTATTGCTGACTCGCTCATTTTGCCACTGCAACATATAAAATATTCTAGAAATTGCTAATTTTCGCTTGACGACAAACGTATTTTTTAGGTCTTGAATGGGGTCAAAATGAATAATTAAAAAATTGGGGACATAATTTTTTACCCACTTTCATTTCGTATGTACTTAAAACGTTGGAAAACGCCCCATTGCACAAATAAACAGCATTTTTTAAGGGTGGTTAGGAAATTCCGCAGTCCGGCCCTGCCTCGGCCTATTCCAACCCGTTAAGCATCCGACGACAAACTCAATTGAAACACCGATACGATGATAGTTAAGCACCACTTTGTAATTATTATTGTACACATCTATCGTCGTGCTATTCCAACCGATCAACATTTATTCGTGGCGTTTTATACAGTTCCACCTCTAATATTAATTAACCCTGATTTCGTTGCGAGTAATGTTGTTGTTTGATTGATAACCAATTACTTTTTTGTTCCCGAATGGAGAAGCTAATTGCTAGAAGCCGTTTTTAGATTTGTAGTCCGGACCCGGTGGACAGAAAATAATTGCTTTCTAGTATTACTCAAACATAGACACACCACAGCATATCATAGTCATATAAACAGAGACACATATTAAAACATTTTTGAAGGGTTCAAACGCTTTTGACTACACGGATTATATTTCCAAATCGTTCCAAAAACTATTTACGAATGCCCCCAACGCTAACGCAGCTATTATTTAACTTCGGAGCCAACTATAAGCTCGTATTGAACAATAGAGTAACGGAAACTTTGTCAGTTAATTTAATTAATTACTTTTGTTTTGGATTAAACATACATTTATGGCGTTTTGATTATATGGCTTTGTTAGAGTTATTAAATGCGTCTATGCGAAACAGGTCGATCAAAAGTTTTCATTGTTTTGAGCCGGTGAAATAATTGTTTCATTTTTCAATAAACACAGAGCGTGAGAATTTTTTTATTTTCGTTTATGATCGCGAACAAAATACTCATGAAAATGAAATTAGACTAAAATTATTATTTGAAACTTTTGAATACATTCTAGGAGCGACTCTGGGCTTTAAGAAGCGGCAAGTCGTATCTATGGCAACGCTAAGTCGGCACGCTTACTCTGCATCCCCATTTATGTCAAAATTATATCCTACGACCTGCTACTATCACAAATACTTTGAGGGCTAATAATGTAGAAGCCCCAATTAGGTTTGGAACTGCCAAACGATCATTGCCTCGATTTTAGATGAACTCTGTTATTTCCCTAAACTGTTCCTGCATTTTTTTACCTGAATTAGTTTCGCTAGTGTCGAATGGAACGCGATATTCCTCAATATAAACTCATCTTTAGGTACAAAAATGTTTATTTTATTTTTAACATCCAACTCTACAGAGTGTATACGCCAGATTACATATATACGCCAGATACATTATATTGTGTCTACATGGCGTGCCATGATAAATCCGATTTGCCACGATTAGAGCAGCTATTAAAAAACTGACGGTTTAACGGAGAATTAAACTGAGCGCTAGTCTGAGATATAAACACGAGCATAAGCGAGCAGATAATGAGTCCGTATAATAATTAGCACGACTGGGAAGCATACGTACAGGGGTTGTAATTGATCAATAGCGCATCATCAAGGGATGCCAGTTTTGAACAACCCTTGGAGTGTTTATCTCGCGCTATGCATCGCTTGCATAACTAACGGCGTTTAGCTATTGATTTCTGGATTCATGCGCCTATTCTGTTTGTTTATCAGATGGCAATTTACCTTATGAATAGCCCAACCTTTATTAGAGATAAACAAACGGTGGGCAAAAATTGAGGCGCAACTCAAGCTTTTAATGTTTAAACACGAATCTTTTAGAGTCTTGCTAGCCGTTAATAGTGTTTATAGAAAGTAACGGAAAACATTAATCGTCCATATTAAGTCACTTTACTATATAATTTAATTAGCCACAAGAAAGAAAATTTAAAAAATCGTGAAAACATTTATTGTATCTCCTAGTTTATCAAAACACTCTGTAGGAAAAAAAAAACGTTTAGTAAAATTAAACTTTCATAATGCTAATGTTGTTAAGGAATCGTTAACAGAATTTGCACCGCAAACTGTTCTCAAAAGGATTTTGCACACTCAATAATTGCTTCTGCGTATTACTTCTTTTATTATAGTTGCTGGTAGCCCATCATTAATTTGGTTTTGTTTCAGGTTAAGATATGGTTCCAGAACAGGAGGACCAAGTGGAAAAAGATCGACAACATATCGAACGTGGAAGCGGCTGAACACAAGAACACTAGTTCGAAGTCTTCAGACGAAGGAAGGACTAGGATCTTCAAGCAGAGCCACAGCCACAGTCAGAGTTCAAACTCCAGCATAGAAAGTGATACCAAAAGCTCCGTTACCTCTGCCGTAGCAGACCCCGTACAAGCCAAAACGTTTAAGGATATTTTACAGACGAATCATCCCGCAATTCCACTGTCGCCAAAGTCCCATTTCCATAATCAGATCGATTCAGCCAAAGACGTTTTATTAAATTTATCGTTTGATGTTCAAGAAAAATCTTAAGAATACCTCCTTTATTTTTTCTTCTGAGATTTTTAGGAAAATGGATGACCCGAAAGCAAAATTTGAATCCTATGTTTTTGTTAATGTTATTATTATGTGTGTGTGTCAAATTTTGATTTTAAGGTCATTTAAACTGGAAGATTAGTAAAATTTTATGTATTCGCAAACAAAATGTTACCAATTGCCCCTTTCTTACCTCAGTACAATCCCATATCTGTTTTTACACATCAAATAACAAAACCCAGAGCCCTTTGTTATCAGCGTTACTGTAAATATAAATTTAGTGTTAGATCTTAGCGTTATGCAGGGTATAAACATAAACAATGTTTTTCATACCTTCCCTAAAACATTCGATAATTCGATAGAATTATTGTTTCCAAATATCAGTGATGTACAGGGTGTTCAATCCAAATTTTCATTAGATTTTGGTACCATACTTGTTTTTTAACTAAAAACATCAATTCTTAGTGTTTTATTTATGCACACAAATATGAAAGTTGGATTTTTTTTAATTCCGTGTATTGATTAAGCGATGTATTATACAGGGTAGGCTGTATGAACTGTTGTAGTGTATAGAAGATGTTAATGTTTTACTTATTAAAAATAAAATGACATATGCGAACAAATTGTATTTTCCTAGAAATGGCAGATTTTGTTTAGCGAGAAAATGTCTACACAAAAGTACAATTTCATTAGTTGCACAGAGTTAACAAATTAGAAAGATATTTTTAATAAAAATTCAGTAGGCATACTTTACCCCTAATTTATCATATTTTATATGTAAATGCGATGTTTGTAACGATCCATTTCATGTAAGTATAATAAAGAAATCCGTTTCAGTATAAACTGTAGTTTTTTTTACTGCATTCGTGAATAATTTACATGTTCACTGCGAGATACTCTCAATGTACTTTGTCTTTGACTGCGATACATATCTTTGGGGATATGTAACAAAACTTCTTCTGTGTGCGGTACATATCCCTGGGGATATGTAATTTTTTTACATTTGACACTGTAAAATTAAAAATAACACAATTATTGCTATAAACTTGCATGTATCTGCAACTATATATCCTAGGATACTAACGTTTTCATTCGCAAAGAGTTTTGAAAAGAAAAAAATAGAAAAATCATTATTTCTAAAAACTACAGATTCTGCAACTTCCAGATACTGTAAAAATGTAATTATTGAGATTCGCATATTTTTTATAATAAGTATATACCCCCGGAGGTATGTACCGCAGTGAACGTGTTAAAGCACATTAAAAATAAGTCTAATTCAACGTATAAATTAAAAACACAATTTAGAGTAGATTTTAAATCCAAAATAGAGATAAAAGGGTACAATTTTCTTACAATTGCAGTTTGCTATGTGATTTTAACGTAGTTCGGACTCCTACATACAGATGGCGCTGAGATCAGTACTTAAATACGGCCACCAAATATTTAAAATTAAATAATTTTCCTTATTTATATGCAACAAAACCGATTTTAAATACTTTTTTAATATTTCAGAGATTATTTTTAAATTACGGTTGATAATACAGTTGCCAAAATACTTTTGCATTACTTTGTTGGCAAGTAACGTACTAACACTGCAAATAAGTAGTTTCGCGATGACGTATTGTTTTAAAAAATGGAGTTAACGGACAACCCTTCTTGAGATAGTTTTTTAGTTTTTAGTGGTAAAATAGTGTAGTTTTATTATGTGTTAGTTAAAATTTCAGTGCTTATTTAATATGTTATAAACAAGAACAATCACTAGTGAAAAGCCAGTTTGTAGTTCCTAGAAAACTTGAGGGAAGAGAAAACATTTTTGCGAGGGAAAAGTGCAATCGTGTAGAGAGGACGAAATTGGATTAACATCTTTTCAGTTGCCAAGGTACGTTATTTAATTAGTAAATTAAATAATAATAATAATAAATATCAAGAAAGTATTGTTAATAAATTGTTTTACGAAGAAGGTTGTGAATCTCTGATCAACTGTCTGGCAGTGTTAGGATTTTGTATTGGCATTTATGTAAAAAGAAATTCTAAAGCATTTGTTATAATCGTATGAAGTTTAACCTGTTTAACACCTTCAAAATATATAAATTCATTTAATATTATATCTTTTTTATATTCATATTTTCATAAAGAAGATAATTAGTGCATCCTCCATTTTCACGAAGACGGCAGCAGTTCCTTTAATGCGAATTGTCACAAATATTTGTAAATTTAACACATCTTACTCCTTAATAACAATTTTTTAAACTGTATTACTTGAGAAGAACCCATACGTGCAAGGAATATCTATATAAATATGTATATAATTGCACGTTTTCTATGAATTGTTAGAATTTAAAATTACAAAATTTCGTTTGCTAACGTGAAACAAAATCAAAATTAAATACTTTTGTGATATTTCAGTGGTGTTTATTGTTGATATTACATTTGTCAATATACTTTTGCATCATTTTATTAAGTTTAACAACGTACTTATTAGAGATTGTAGTTCACATTACAAATACTTGGCTACGCAATTTTTGAAAATGGAATCAAACTTTTTGTAAAAGAAACAGTTTTGTAGTTTTTACTGGTAAAATAATTTAGTTTTATTATGTGAGTTAAAATTTCCGTATTTTTATCTTATTTGTAACAAACAAGAATAATCGATATTCAAAACCGGTTTGTGGTTCCTAGAAAAACTCCGGGAAGAGAAAACAGTTATGCGGGTAGAATGTGAACTTTTGAAAATATGTAGAGGACGAAATTGCAATAAAGACTCTCTAAAGGATTTTTAAATACTATTAACGTTAATGCCTTTAAAATATATAGATCTATTTAATATTACATCCCAATTTCAAATTCAGTAAACCATATTTTCTAACGAAGTTAATTAGTGCATCCTTTCGTACGAAGATGGCACCACTAACTTGAATGTTATTTTCACAAATATTTGTAAATCTGACACATCAATACAATTTAATTGTATTACTTAAGGAAACACCATACATACTAGGAATATTTTTGTAAAAATGTAACTGCAAGGTTTCTATGATTTGTTAGAAGTGATCCATTTTGTTTGGTATTTTGGATGTGGCCAAGTTTACTATCATTTGTGCGACTTCGCTGGATACTAGTTTCACTATTTAGTCACAGATGCCGCCAGTAGAAAATTGTTATTGAAAGCTAAGTACGATTTAGATTTCCAAATTTACGACGCAGGGATGTACGGGAATGTAGCATTTTTATTGTTTCCATTTTAAGTACCACAAAATGCATAAACTAAGCTAGAACTAGACGGTCAAACAATAAATTCAAATATTGCTCTCCATGGATTTCCAAAGTCGCTATTGGAAAACATGCTATAAAGCCAAATGCGTCAGTTTATACACAAAGTAAGAAAATACTTCAAGATTTTATATTGCCGTACAAATGGGATTTAATATATTTTCAAAAATAAAAATAAGTAATAACCGAATGGATAGTTTATAAGATTCCGTCTTTATTGCATTTTTATGGATGTTTTTATTAGTTTAGCTAGGGACTCTTGCAGATATTGCAACGGATTTACTGAAATTGAATCATTTTATATTTTGCCGTAGGTACAATTTTTGATTAAATACCTATCGCTTTTACAATAATTTTTTTCGTCTGCTGATAAATTAGGTGTCTACAATTTTTTTTACTAGGTGTACCTAAAACGGTATGCATTCAGTAATCTGGAATTCCTAGAAATTTAAAAAATTAAAATTTTGATGTGAAATTCGGAGTCACAAAATTTATTTTCAAAAATAATGATGCAGATTTTTTAAATTTTTTTATTAAATTTTGTAGCAAACGCCAGCGCTTGCGACCACTATCAACAAATCAAGTGCCAAAAAGTACAGTGTGTCCAATTAAGTTGACACCATATGGGATACTTTTTTATTATTGGTTTTATGAAAAAAAATTATTCTTGATAAAAAGTTCTGCATGGCTTAAAACCCAAAATGAAATCAGATTTCAATTTTTTGCAGTCGTGTACGAGGTTTGTCGAAAAATGTAAATTTTGCTCAAGAGTAAAGTACCTTTATTTTTTACAACATCGACAATCGTTATAAAGAAAAGTTGATCCTAATAGAAAACTGCGATCATATATCCAATATTATCCATTTACCATTAAAAGCAACCTTTAATAATTTTTGGGTATAAACAGGAAATAAACAAATTATAATTTAATTTTGAAAATCATAAAACATTTATTGTATTGAAATCATCGGTTTGTCAGTGCATCCTAGATTTAATGTCGATCTCTAGACGTAAATTATCAATGCTAATACAGAGAAGAGTTTATAAAAATAACAAAATCTGTGTGTTAATGGAAGATGGATAATATTGGATATCTGATCGTAGGCTTCTATCAGGATCAACTTTTTTAATAACGATTGTCAATATTGTAAAAAAGAAAGATACTTTACTCTTGAGCAAAATTTAAATTTTTTGACAAAACTCGTATAATACTGCAAAAACTTGAAATCTGATTATTTCATTTTGGAATTTAGGCCATGCAGAACTTTTTATCAAGAATAACTGTTTTTCATAAAACCAATAATAAAAAAGTATCCCATATGGTGCCGAGTTATTGGACACACTGTATATAGCTATCCAGTAAAACCACAAAACTTCTGTCTTTATTACAGTTTCTGTAACTACAATCTTATTATCGTGATTGTGAAGTTTGCTATTTAATTTTTTAACTTTCTCGGCGGTAAAAATAGAGTTCATAGAAAAAATATATAGACTGTAATATATGATGCCAAATTGAAACAGGAGATAGGAAACGTCCAAATATAATACATTTTTCTGATTAATATAATCGATAATCTAAAGACCTGTGCCAAGTTTTATTTGGACCTTAACAGCCATTTTGGACTGCAAATTTCTGACAGTACTCCTTTATCACCCCGTAACTTTTTTAGTAAGCATTTTCGAACCCATGTAAAAAAACAGCTTTTGTTCAAAATCGCGTTTCCTGTACATAGGTATTCTTTTTCAGTTTGCAACAATATTTTAGAAACACTGTATAATGTACAAATTCCAAATTTTTTTTGAGGCAATCGAGCTTATTTGCAGTGGATCGATGACAAATTTTATTCATTCATTAATATTTTCATTAAATCTCTAGCAAACACTAATGTTTCAGTATGGAACAATATATTTGAAACGTTCTGTATAATGTACGAGTTACAAGGTTTTTTATGAAGGTGTTCCACTCCTGCAATACACGTACAAAATCACGAACCATTTCATTAATTTCAATTTAAAATGAACTGTAATGCAGTAAATTATTAACAATTGTTTAGTTTTTTCCACTTAGGTAGAGCTTACACATGCATGTTATTTAAAATTGCCGCTGTCACATAGAAAATGACATTGGTCAAGTAAAATTTTATTTTCTTTTAGGCGGGTCCAATTCCTTGCCACATCCTTTCCATTTAATGTCCTCGAAATGCCTCCGAGGAGCGGAACACACCATTTCCTGCAACCCCCAAACGAGAAAATTCGAAAAATTAAATTTTCGTTTAGTCTGGTCAAATTGCTCGCCAGATCTCTTCCATTTAATGTCCTTGAAGTAATCCCCGAGTATCGTCCTCCCCCGAGGTGCGGAACACCCTTTCCTGCAACCCCCAAACGAGAAAATCCGCAAAAATTCAATTTTCGTTTAGGCGGGTCCAATTCCTTGCCACATCTTTTCCATAGAATGTCCTCGAAGTTATACTTTTGCCCATCCCCGATGTGGGGAACACCCTCTTCTGCAACCCCCAAGCGAGAAA